CCATGACTCCCTTCTGTTTCCACGGATAAGGGGGATATGAACTCAATGGTAATGACATAACCATCAGTCCTCAACCATATCCCTTTTTAAAAACTGAATTTTCACAATAGCTTTTTGAAAGGACTGTCACTTCTTCAGTGTCGCCTCTATGTTGCACTTTCCTGTGGGAGCTGACATTTTGCTGATACTTCATCAGGCCGGACTGCCTGCTGAGAACCAGATTGGTAAGGGATATGCATCTCACTGCTGGAAAAGGATGGAAGAAGTATTATTTAAATACAATTTATTTTACAACAACTTTAAAAATCAGATTTAGGGTTGCTTCAGAGAGGTTGGAAACACAGTATTGCATCTCACCTCTTTGTGCTTAGTGACATGCTTAAAACATTTAATTGTTCTTCAAATAGTTTTTTTCATTTTATTTTGTTTTACATGTACTCATTTTTTCTGCCTTAGATAACTTCTTTTTTACATCAGCATGTCATAAAGGAAATACCAGCCCTGATTTATGGTAGGTGTGTTACAGATAGTTGGTTCCCCTAGATCTAGTCAATACACCAACCACATGAATTCTAGAGAAAAGGAGTGAGGGGGCTGTGTGTACACATAAAGCAAGCCAACATATTTTTTTTTGAATCTTGAATCAGTTCAGCCAAACAACTGATTTTTGTTTTAAAAATAAAATAGGCAAACTAAATTGCAAAATTTTTTGTTGGTTGGAACTATTTTTTGAATAATTTAATTCAACCCAAATGGTCAAATTAGTTTTCTGTTTAAAAAAAAAACAAACTAAAATGGACACCTGAAAAGTATTCATTCCTTAATATTAAAAGAGAAAATAAAATTAAGAAATCATTCTTTGTGTTCAAAATACAATATTTGCCAGCTTGTGGTATACTGGAGCTGTTACTAACAGCTCGGAAAAGCCAATTGTTAAATTTTCAGAAATGTTTGCCAGCCAGTTGACATCACATTGGTTGCCTGAAATGTTCCATGGTGGGACTATTACAGTGTGGAAATTGGCAAATGCTACAAACCAGGGTTTTTATATTTCAGAGAACCAGTTAGTAAACGTTTACCAGCTTACCTCCACAGAAGGTCTACACCTGTGTTCAGTATGGTTTTCATGATGTTTAATGATGTTTGATCATCATCATTTCATTATGATACACCATTTCATGATGCTTGATCATATGATGTTTAAAGAATAAATTGTATTTGGAATTAGTATTTCCCTCCTAGTTTCTTCTCTCCCATTTTCTCTTATTTTCCTTCCTTCAGGAGTGGAGGGGCTTATTTTGTAAATAAAAACAAAAAAACTATATATATATATATATATATATATG